TCTGTGTGGCAGCCTTTACTGTCCCCCATCAGACATTAAATAAAAGAGCAAATTCTTGCTTTACCCTCTAACTGGGCAAGACAGGTTACGTTGCATTGTTTTTAATTCCTCCTATGCTGGAAGATAATCTCTTGCTTAAATGCTTTGTAGACTTGAACTTGTGTATTTTTTTGAGATTTCATTGTAAGTTTCTTGTAATAATTTTCAAGTCATCCATTGAGTACACAAGTAAGAAATAAGAAACCCTGGCTGCACAACCTACACACAAGACAGAGAATTCCACACCATTTTTCACTGGTGAGATTGATTCCCTTGACAGAGTGAACTTTTCTACCTGAATTTGTGTACAGCTCTGCCTGTGACATGCCTTTTTCTCTCCTTTCCAGGAGCAGTGAAAGGTGAAAGCCACGGTGGAGAGCCATGGTAAGAGCTCAGAGGCTTTTGACTATTAAATGCTTCCTTTTATTAGTATATGAAAGTATACTAGGTACAGACATAATAATCTTTTCCCATCTTCCACACTGATTTTGGAGGCTGTTAAATATTTGGTTACATTTGGAAAACATTTTGACATTCTTTGCAGAATGACACCATAGAGAAGCAAAGTACCCATATTATTGCTTTATAAAGGAACCTTTAAACTAATGAGGCATTAATGAATAGACTTGTATGCTGAATCTTTCTCATGTAGGAAGGGTACAAAGTCATTTCACATAAATTGCAGCCCATTATTATAAATAGTTTGGCATGGGTTTCCCTAGAGGTGGAACTTCAAGCCAAATATACAGCAGCAGCTGTGGTGACACTTTGTGCAGAAATGATTCCAGGCATTGTGCTGGAGGAGCTGGTATTGCAGGATAACAGCACAGCAGCACATATTTAGAGCCATCTTACAGCAGCAGTTCTACTGGTTTGTACTGAAGGTATGAAAAATATCTGTGTGTGCCTGAGATGAGCAAGATGAGTCTTCTTCCCTTGCATTGTTTCCCATTGATTTTGTACCCAGATTAACCAACTACAATCACTGTACATAAGATTTTAATGATTGAGGAGTCTTCCTGAATTATACTTTCTAATTTTTGTTGGAAATTGTAAATAATTGCTGCAATACTCCCAGAAATATGCCTTTCCTCTCCTACATTTGACATTTAAGGTCTCTGTGACACTGGAAGCCATACCAGGTATTATCTGATAACTGGTGTCCAAATTCATCCCCAAGGCATATAATTATAGTTAGGTCCCTAGGAATTTTAGAAAAACTACACAAATTATGGCAAAACTAGGGAAAAGGGACAGTCTTTTTTTTTTTTTTTTTGTGTATGTTTGTGTTTGCAGTGACCATTTATGCTTACACAGCTTAAAACATCCCACTCCACTTTTCCAACAAATTACCAGCCTTTGTTTGGAATGCTAACAAATCCATATAAATCACTGTGTCATAGATTTGCCTGGCTTATACATGTCAGTGGTCCCATCCTTTTAAAATTCCCACTGGCTTTATCCCTGAGACTGGCTCTACTGAGCCTTGGTACTCTGCTTGTCCTCAGCAGGATTCCACAGTGGAAATTGATTTGGGTACCTTCAGACATTTGTGACTGGGAATGATGCCAATCTAATGCAGTACTGGACCTCGTCTGTCACTGGCAAGCCACTGGTATGCATTCCTCAAAGCAGAGGTTTTTTTCCTCCCTTGTTTCCACAACTAAATCCCATAAAGCACAAGTTTGGAAAGTGTGCCTGTAGGTGTGATGTAGCGGGCTCAGGAGAGCAGTAGTCAAGGTGGAGACTGTGCATCTTGCAAAGGTGGAGAAGGATATTTTCTTTCATTGCATTTTCTGCCTTATATAAAGGGGCTTGTATATTCTTGGAACAGGACAGCCTTCCTTTTGTCTGCTTTGCAGGATAGTGACTGTGTTTTTCCTTTCCTTCATCAGCTTCCCAAGACTCGTGTGTGTGTTAGTGTGAATATAAGTGTTATTGGTGTGAATGTAAGTGTTATTTCACAAGCAGGATTTGGGGAAACAGTAGAGATAATAGTTACTTTTTCTTCTGACTTTCTAGTTTTTGAGAGTATCTGAGATAATTTGTTTTCTTTTTTTTCCCTGAAATTTAGTGTTATCTTTCGTTACCCCAAAACCGGTTCCATGGTTATTGTCTAATAATTGCTTAGTGCATTTTATTACATAGTTTTTTTAATGCCTACCACAGGTTTTTAATAGTAACATAAACATATTAGTTATATTTGATGGTAATGGGTACAACATCTGATTTACAATTAGCCTTAGTTTTGGTTTATTTTCAGCCTTTAATTTGGTCTTTTAAACAAATATATGCAATTTGTGGGCTTTTCTTTGAGTTTTGTGCTCTACAACTGAGTTTGACTCTGTGTTTCTATGATATTTTCCCAAAATCCAGTGAGACTTTTTTATTTGGAGAAGAGTAGAGAATTCAGTCACCAGACTCTATTAACTGTTTTCCTTAACTCTCTTGAGAAGGTTAATCTCTTTAAATTTGTTGCTTGAATAACACCTTGGGTCTTCTTTGGTGAAGTGACATCACCTGTCATTACTGGAGATTAATGTTAACATTTTTTTGCTTAAACATTTTACTTTTCAATAGATAGATTTAATGTATCAACACTATGAGCAACTAACTACCAGCTCTGCAAGAAGAGTTTATCTGCTGCTTTCAGCTGCTTTCGGCTAGGACTGTCTGCGTGTCAGAGCTCTTAGGCCACCAGCAGCCTGAATGTCCCTGACAAGTTCCTTGTCTCCCTTACCCTTAGTTTTTTCACGTAGCAGGGGTAATTTCACTGATGATTAAGGGTATTGCACCAATATTAGCTTAGGTAACTGAAATTTGATGTCAGGGAGTCAGGCATGTACTACAGGTTGCATGTAACAATGCTTGTTTTTCCAATGACAGTTTTTTTTTGTTTTGTTTCTTTTTTTTTTTTTTTTTTTTGTTCATTTTTTTTTTTAAGGGATGGCCCTGCAGCTTGTAAATGATAAATCCTGGTGATGAAGCCTAAATTACAGTTCTCTGCAATTACCTGGGGATTATTTTTCTCCTCTGTTTTCTATTTTCTCCTCAGATATCTGTCTTTCCAGTGATGCAGAAGTGGTTTTAAAAGTAACAGTGTGAACTAATTATCTGGAAAAGTGATTGCAAATAGTTTACTTGTAGTGTCTTCCTTCAGCCATTTCTCATTATTTTGCAGAAAGAAGAGGAGAGCTTATGGCTTTTGATGACTAGGCATTGATCAAATGTGTAGTTGACACAGATCTCATCCTCATAACTGTTGAATAAATTGTTATTTTATTTCTTCTCAGTCGTATAGAAAGATATTTTACAGACGGTGTTTGGTTTAGGAGGTTGGAAATGATCTTGCCTGGTGTTGTCCTTTGTCTTTTTTTTATTCTTGGTATTTGTAGGACTTTGAACATAAGTTCCAAAGTGTGTATCACAAATCCAGGAGGGATTCCCAAGCCACCTGAATGCCCAGGTTGAAACATTAGCAGGAATTCCTCCTGCTTTTGTCTTTTCTTTTAAAAGCAAAATCCTACTGTTCATCTGTGCATCTATGAATACACAGAAAATGCCTTAGAAAAACCCTGATGGTATTTGTACAAACTTCTGTAACAGCTTTTGGTTTGAGCTGCAAAGCCAGGGTTTCACTCTCCACAGCTACAGAGGACAAGCTGCAGCACTGCATCTCCTGTCTGTAGCCTGTTTGTACCTGTCAACACAGCAGCAGATGGAGGCTGGATTATTTTAAATTTTTCTTAGTGCCTCTCTGTGCCTTTCCTGGGCTGTTTAATGTAGCTTTGGGTGTTCTTACAGAGAATTTAGCTCTGATGACCATCATTTCCACCTAGGTGCCTGAGAGGGCTTTCACTCATACAACTGTGCAAGCAAAAACAGAATTTTGGGCTTGAAAAGGAATGGTGTAATTACGTGGGAGGGGTTTTGCTGGATTGGGGGGTGGATGCCTGTGACTGATGGTAATGCTGGGCACTGTGTTGGGTGGCCCTGGGTGCCCTGTGAGGTGGCCCCATCTGCAGCAGTGTGCCCCAGCCCCATGGCCTCCCATGCCACACTGTGGGATGGGAAAGGGGAACTGGGAAAGTGGGGTAAGAGATTAGAGACAAAAATGAGTGCACAGCCCTGAGGAGACAGCACTGAGTCCACTGCTACTGAGGTTGTGCTAGGGAGAAAGACAGCTTGGAGCTGAACATCCTATCCTCCTTGCTGAACATCCTATCACCTATGCTGAACATCCCTATTACTCCACAGCTCTAATGAGCTACATGCTCTGCCTGTGTGAAATAACTGCCTTCCTTTGGCCTTGCTGCACTTATAAGCCTCAAGCTTTTATTCCAAACAAAGGCTGCCACTGAAAATAATTTGGGGAGGAAAACTAATTTCTTGCCTGTCACCCTGATCATGCTCTTGTGCTGTGCTGTTGATTGGCTCTAAGATAGAGGGAAAAAAATGCTGAATTAAGAGCAAAATATTCGCTTAGATATTTTTAAGGCAGACAAGAAAAGGGAATGTGAGTTTTTTGAAACTCCTGCTTCTGTTGCATCCTGTGGGAAGAGGGGTTTGAGATGTGAGTCACAACAGGGGTGAGAAGGGTGGGCAGTGAGCTGCCTTTCTGGGCTGTGCTCTGTGGGAGGGAGCCAGGAGGCATCCTCTGAGGCACCAGCTCAGCTGGAAGGCTGGGGAACAGAGCTGGGAACAAAGGAGCATCAGCCTGTGCAGACAGGGAGACAGCCAGCCCATCAGTGAAGGGATTGATTTTTCCCACCAAAAGGTCTTCTTTGTTTTTCTCTTTGAAAAAAAAAAAAAAAAAAAAAAGGAAAAAAGAAAAAGAAAAAAAAAAACCTCCCCCCCCACTTATTTAAATGTGATCTGTTTATTTTTTTCTTATCTCACTGAAAATGTTTCATTTGTATTTTGAGGAAAAATACAGACATTTTCAGACAAAATATTTCTTTACATGCTTTTATTTTGCCAAAACCATTTTCTGTAAGAGAGGATGTTTCTGTGCATGGTGTGTGCATTTTAATGCATGTGAAGGAGCTTCATCTGCCTAATAAGTATGAAGGGCTGAGTGGTGTTCAGCTGGCTTCTCTGTCCTTCTGCAAAGCAGGTAGAAATCATCAATAAAAGGCAGGCTGGCTAGTGTTGCTCTGGGATGACATATGTATGCAATACTTACTGGAATTGCATGGGTCTGACCCTTACTCAAATTTGCTGCTATTATTAGTTTTTCAGAGTGTCATTTGTCCTCCTGTTTTGTTTTGTTTTGTTTTGTTTTGTTTTGTTTTTTTTGTGTGTGTTGTGTATCCTTCCCTTCCCTTCCCTTCCCTTCCCTTCCCTTCCCTTCCCTTCCCTTCCCTTCCCTTCCCTTCCCTTCCCTTCCCTTCCCTTCCCTTCCCTTCCCTTCCCTTCCCTTCCCTTCCCTTCCCTTCCCTTCCCTTCCCTTCCCTTCCCTTCCCTTCCCTTCCCTTCCCTTCCCTTCCCTTCCCTTCCCTTCCCTTCCCTTCCCTTCCCTTCCCTTCCCTTCCCTTCCCTCCTGTCCTTCCCCCTCAGACGTCCTATATTCACAAATAAATCATAATACACAGACTTGTCACAGAATGCTGACCACATTTACTTCCTCGAAGTCAAGCACAAAAGTGTTCAGGATCTGCTGGAAATTGCTGCCTCTCACAAAAGGAATTTCTTTTGCCTCAAATGTCGCTATGGCATTTTGCTTCGCTTCATAACAATGAAGTGTAATAAAGATGCAACTGCAGCGTTCAAGAAAGAGACCAGTAAAATATTACTTTGAAGAAACTGGTACTTGATGGATTGTGCTGAAAGACTGCAAAGCTTTCTCCTTTTGGTTCCCTACACACAAACACAAAATCTTTTTGATTTCAAGATTTCTAAATTACTAAAGAAGAAATGATTTACCTGGTCTTTATTTTCTATTTCAAGAATATATGCCATTAAAACAACCAAACAAAAATCAACTGAATTATAACTATGTCAGCTCTTCCCCTTGACATGCTTCAGAAGCCCCCAAAGACTGGCTGATGTGTAAATACATTTTTAGCAAAGACATGGGTAAAAATAGAAGAGAAGCATTAATGACTGTTGCTCAGAAATAATACGGCTAATTATTTGTAAATAAGGTGACAAGGCACCACCTTGATACGTGAAGGTACAGCCATGGATCCATGGATCATGGAACTTGTACCAGTTTGCCTGAGACAGACATGACTGAGCCAGTCCCTATGACACCCAGACTGTGAGAGAGAGCTTGGTGCCCCTAAAATTAGGGACAAGTGTCTGACTGAAGCCATAGCAACCCCTAGACAAGAGACTTGGTTGGAATCTGGACTTGTCATTTAGCTTTAGCATTTAGACTGTGGATCAGTCTCCCATCTGTAAAAAGGCATGATTTGAGCTCTTCTTAACTAGAGTTCCCTTCTCTGTTCTGCATCGCAGGATGATGCCTTGTACAAAAAGCTCCTCCTCTTGTTTGGTGCCTCTCATTATTACCATAATATTTAAAAAAAAAAAGTGAAAGTGAGATTACAACCTCAAGGTCAGCTTCTGCTCTAGTGCTCTCACCCTTTTGCACTGAAGTCTGCCAGGATTTGGCCTTTAAGGTTTTGGTGTACAATATGCACATCTTGTGCTGAGATTAAATATGAATATGTTTAAAGGTCTGCTTTCAATCCAAATTTTGAGGGCTTGCCAAAGTAGCAGAGATTGAGATAGGATCTTTTTTACTATTAATTGAAGGCTATGCTTTTATTTCCTTTAAATATTTTTTAAAGCCTCCCTTCTGTGGTAGAAGATATCTTGCTGCTGCTTGGATTGATTCCAAATACTGTTTTCCCCTTTAGCTAGAGCTGCAGAATGTAGTCAGTTTGATTCCTTGCTAAGTATCTTTTGTTAAATACTGGCAATTCAGAGTTGCAGTTACCTTAAGGTGAAAGGGAAACCAGATCAAGATGCTATTAACTGCCACTAGAAAGAAAACATGCCATAATGTCATATGAGTTAATAACTCTAAGTAGCCTCTAAGATGCTGCTGTGGAATTAAATGCTTAACAATAATTCAAGAACAGCTTACAGAAATTTAAGAATGTGGATCATTTAGTATAGCCGAAATTATGCTCCTGGCATATATGTATGACACATGAGAGCACTTACCTGGAAATTTATTACCCAGCTCTGAGCAAACAAAGCATGACCTACATTTGACTAAAGTCAGCTGTCTCTGGCTAATCCTATGGGCTTCTTTTTTATTAATGTCACAATTGCTAATGTGGTATAACATTGTCATTACTGAATAGCACAGCGGGATAAGCTGCAGCTGTTATTTCTCTTTCTATACCTACTAACTCATTAAATTTGAGTTTTGGGGAATACAAATTATAAAGATTATTCAAATTCTGATTGAGAAATAAGGCTACTGGGAAATTGGTGGCATATAAAGTAACACTTTGATTCAAGGATTTTGGTGCTTTTGTTATTAGGAAGATTGGAATGTTCACGGTAGTTTTTTTTTCTTCCTAGTATCTTAGCATTAAGGTCCAAATTAAGCCACAGGTAGAACATCAAGAAAAGTAATAGGTATAGGGAAATTATTGCACAGTGGAAACTATTCTTTCTGATGTAAAGGTAAAATTTGAATCTTGTACAGTGAGATCATAGAACAAGTGACTTTTATTCCAAGAGATCAGTAATACACTAATCATCCCATTGTTATTTTAAATAGCATAATTTCCTAATATAAAATACATAAAAAGTACTGGAGTTTAAAGACTTTTTTATCTTTAAACAGATTTTTACAGGACTGTATAGTGTACATAGAGGCAGGTCCTTGGACTTGGTATTTCCAGAAAAACACACATGGCAGCAAGAACTGACTTCTTCAAGAGGGAAACTTTCCAATTTGTCTGCTTCAGGGCTGACACATTGGTATTCCTTTTTCCTTTAATTATGGTTGATTTTTCTGGGAGCCTTACCTCATGCTTACTCTCCTCACACTGAGGTCTGGTTGAAAGCTTATTTAATTTTTTTTTTTTTTAGATTGGTGTGGAATCAGAATGAAGCTCCTCTTTTTTTGAGCCGCTCCCCCAAATCGTGACTGCTTGTACAACTGCTTGTACAGCAGGAAAGAGTTTCCAAAGTGTTCCAGGCTGGCCGCATGATGTCCGGGTGATGTCTGTCTGGGAGGAGCACCCAGGTCCAGGGGGTGGGGGGCAGCCAGAGGTGCAGCCCCCGCAAAAGCTCCGCATGAGCCCGGAGCGGGTAGGAGGAGGCATGGCTGGGGCTTTCCCACACCCCAGCTATTTCCTGCTCTCTCCAAAGCCCATGGAAACTGTGTCAGCCAGCAGAGAGTTAGGTCAGTGCTCAGGGGTCAGGCCGCAGGGTGGATTTTAATGGAGCTAAGCTGATGGTTGCAGCTGAGGATGTGGCCATTAATTTCCACTCTATTGTTACAGTGAATAGTTTTACAAGCTAAATTCAGTGCATGATCTATTGCTGTATTTCAAGGGGTGTAAATCCCTTGACTTTCATAGATGGACCTGGGGAAAGGCAATGGTGTTGAGGGATTAAATAAATGAAAGAGTTGAGGCTGGGGGGAAGGGGAGCTGGAGTACCCAAATATTGGTGGATGATCATATAATTGTGGTGAGAAACATGTGGTAGTTGGGCTAGTCTGGAAGCACGGATGAATCTGAATTCCTCAAATCAAGACAAAAACTTCCTGCTTTCCTCAGATAAATTGGAGACGAAATTATCTCTTAGGCATTCATGCTCTTAATTACTTTCTCTCCTCCTCCCTCCTCTACCAACAGAAAAAAATAATTGTGGACTTCTACATTCTTGTTTAAAGGGTGATGTCAGCTGTTAGGCTGTGGCTGACTACTCCTGGGGATAGGTGGTCAGCCTCCAGTGGGTGCTTTACACTCAGTACAGTAAGGAGATGAGTACTCAGTAGTGTTAGTGAACCTAAAACGTTGGGAAGCACTATGGAGAGGACTTGAACTGGGATGTCATAGCTACAGAGGAGGGATACTGTATTAAGCAATATTTGCAGATGATGGATAGAATTTGTTCATGGGAATTCTGTGGAATGTAATGTCTGTGATCTCTATGATCATTGTAAATACTGTTCTCTGGCCTCCTTAACTTTCCCTTTCTCAAACAGTATTTTCTTTTGTCTTGCTCTCATGTCTTGATTGAATAGTTTTCAGCTTTCCCAAAAGTGAAGTCTTTCTCCCCAAATTTTTTTTTTACAATTTGGTCTTGTGTGAGCCCACCCTCTCCCCTTCAGAAAGCTTGATCCCAGTTGCCTTCTTGATCTGCCTGTCAACTAGTTTCACAGCCTGTGACTACTACTGCAGCACGCTAGCTTTTAAAATTTGCGCTTTACGAGGGAGCCTGGGGATGAAAAAGGATGGCATGGAGTGTAGGGGAGGAGGTGCTGAGGGCTCTGGTAGAACAAGGCTGGCCCACTTCTCCACACATTCCAGTGTGAGGAATGCAGTGTGCTCCTCTGTGTGTGCAGGATAGGAGGGGAGGCTGCGCAGAATGATTCATACGGGAAATATGCCATGACCACACTGAAAACAAAACAACATCAGCTCAAATTCTGGTGGTGTTTGTAGTGAGGAAAAATGCTTTTGACTTTTTATTAGGTGGTTTGTGGTCTACATGAATAGGCTTGAGGATTCAGATTAGTGCTTTGGAGCTGGTGCCCACCACAGGCATGGTCATTCCTGCAGGAGAGGGACTTGATGAGCTTAGAGAATCCCTCCAGAGTATGACTTGGGAATGGGCTAGCATGTGGAAGTTCTCATTGCTCTGGTTCTGGGTAAAATGAGAACTTCAGCAACATAAACATAGGATTTTTAATGCATAATACAAAGAGTGTACTCAAAATTTGTGTTAAATGTACTTAAAATGAAAGTTAATAATTGGATATATTTAAGCAGCAAATGCCATAGAATTTTTATTATTTAGCCACGTGGCTGTGGGAATCACCTTAAATGATGCTTAAATGATACGTGACTGTTCCTTTTTTCTGTTTTGTTTTTGTTGTTATTTTAACTCTCCCTGCTTCTCCCATTTCCTGTCTCTTATTTTTATCAAAAATGGAACAAGACCATTCCCATGTATCAAAAAAAACAATTCACAGAGGAATAGGAACACACTCTGCCTCTGGATTTCCATGCGGGTCTCAGGTGAAAGAAAGTAACCTGTACAGATCAGTCATGATATGAGCAAGTCTTCTGCCATCCTTTCCCCACCTGGACTATTTCTCGTAGAGTTTCTTCCTTAAAGGAGTCCTTTCTGATTAGCAGTTTGCTCCCTCTGTCTGTGAGAGATGATAAAGCAAGGGCAGCAGAAGAGCCAATCTGAAACCATTATTTATCCTTATTGTGGTTTTAGGGGAATGTGTGACTGCTTGTGAGTTGCAGATAAGATTAAAGTTACTGAGAACAGAAATCTATATGAGCTTTTCTTCATATTCCTGAGAGCCAATGAGCTGACTGATCAACTTGTATCTAGTTTGTGCTGTTTCAGACTTGAGAAAATTTGTGGATAATTGAAGAATTATCTGAAAAAGGCATGGAGTTCAATGAGTGTAAAGCTCTTGAGGAGATTGCATTCTTTTTGAATAAACAAAGAGTGAAGGTTTTTTATTTTTTTTATTTTTAAAATTTTTTTTGGACAAGATTTTCTAAGGTTTTGTTGTTTAGGGGGAGGAGGTAAGTTTAGTTCTCTTCCCTGCTGCTGCTACCCACTCTGTTAGACTTTTACAAAGCCTGTGTGACAAATGAGAACCAATGAGCCAAATGAGGAACTTTGGAAATGGGCTGTCCAGGCAGCGCTGGGAAAGAGGCTGGAGGCAGATAACTCTATGTGCCTGCCCCCAGAAATATGTTTTTTCTAGGTTCCATGAAGGTATTTCAGGGAAGGTCACATTTTTTATGCCATCTCTCCTTCCTTTCATGCAGCCTAGTTGCCACTGAAACAGCTCAGATGTTCATCCTCTACTTGCTGATTTTCTCATGATAGTGTGGAGAAAACACCCCCAACAATTCACTAACAAGCAAATAAACCATTCAGAAACTAAGCTTTCCATTAAGAAAAAAACACTTCAAAACAAGGTCTCAGCTCTTCTCATAATCAGACAAAATATTTACTGAGGATACGCATTAAAGAACTTAATTTATGGCATGAGTAGTGACTGCGTATACAAAACCCAAGTGAGCTGAGAAGTGAGCAGTTCCACCAGTGCTTGTTAGAGTGTCAATGCAAAAACAAGTGTGTGAGCTAATTAAGTCATGTGTTAGTAAATGGCATTGCTGTGTAGGCACAGAAATAGGAGAGAACACTGGCTTTCAGCACAGAATTAAATCTGACTGAACAATATTCTGCAGCATGCAAAACAACTTGAAATGTTAAATGGCCGGGAAAAATAAACTTTCTTTGTATCTTTCTTGTACTGATGTACAAGAATCATAAGCCTTTCTCTTTTAAATAAATGCTATTTTTAATTTCCAGATACTCCTTAAAAAAGGCAGATGGATTCTCCCTTGGCTGCAGTTAAATATAAAAACCGCTTTATTAATTTTTCAAGGAATAAGCCTGCACTATGTCTTGCTATTTCTAGCCTGACAAAGCAGAAGTTGTATATTTTCAATGTAATAAGATCCATTTTGCTAGCTATTTCACCACAGGAAGGGCACTACTTTAATCAAGAGGTTATTCGCATTCATGTATGATTTTGTCTAAAGCTGAGTGTCTAAAACAGCTGATCTATATCTGAACTTTGAGCAGGTTTTTTAGTGAACATGCAAATTAACTACATCGTGTTACGAAAGTACGCATTCGTGACTGATAGAAATTACCGGGGTAATGCTGCCTTTGTTCTCCTTTCCTTATCCTCTTGTCCCGTAGTGTAATATTGTATATTTGGTAGTATTTAATTTTATGTACGAAGACTAATGAGAGGAGAAATGCTGTGAAGAATAAAGACGTTCTTTGTTACACACGGGAACGATTAGCGCTGCTGCTTGCCACGTGGAGGAGCTCGAGTATCATGGTAGGAATTACCATGCGCCTGGAGTGCCCCGGCAAAACTGGTCTGGAAAAGTAACTCCTGGGATTACTTTGGCCTCATATCTGCCCCTGGGTTTGTGAATAAGCTTGCTGCAACCCTGTAGCAGTAAGGCATAAGAGCATAATTTGTTCTGTAATAGTCCTAATACTTTTTCCTACTGGTATCATGAAAATCTCAAACCTACTTAAACTGGTGCAAACCCTGGCTATGGCTTTTCTGTGGTTTTCTAGATATGTTTCCATAACTCCTCCTCCTGCTACAACATGTAGGACTAACTAAGAGAAGAGGAAAAAAAAAGGTAAAAGTCCTTCCTACCTTACTGCGCCATACGGAACTGTAGATTTAAATAACATAAATTCAGCTTCAAAGTCTGGCTGCACCAACATAAAGGACCATTGACCTGTAGGTATTTTTGTCTCTTTCTGACCTACAAAAAGACTTTTTTTTTCCTCTCTAGTACATTACTAGTGGAGAAGTTTATGTGAAAACGCCCTAGATATGTTCAGGAAAATCTCTCTGTGCTAGGTAGCATCAGTCCCATGGCAGATGGAGCTCCTGGGCTGGCAGTGGATATCAGGGCACTTTGTTGTCTTGGTGGATGGACCTGGGAGTGGGGCTTTGGGCTGTGCATGTTCAGTCTGACCAGTTGGACCATTTTGATATGCACTGGCTGGGTAGGGTATCCCTGGTTTTGCTCCCCATGGTCATGCTCTTTTATGTAGGCTGGACAGTGCATGTGAGCTAAAAACATCAGCTCTGATGAACTAAAAAAATAAGGAAAATGAGATGCACCCCAGCAGGAGGGAGTGGGAGAGAGGCTAGAGGCCTCCCATGCCATTAATTTCTTAAGGTTGGGTTTTTACGACCTATTGGCTCATTAAACATGTCAACCCTCAGTTTGAAGCACCAGTTTTAGGTGATCTGTGAGACTCTGCCTGAGGTGTGTGAGGAAGTGCCTGTGGGAGATGCTCACCTGGCAGCTCTTGAGGGACACAGATGGCCACAGCGAGGTGCTGGGTTAGAAGCAGGGATGGGAATGGAAAAGCAGTCCAAGGACTTCATCTTCCAAAACTGCAGTCTTGTGCTGATTATTTCTGGTTAAAAAAAAAGGATTTCACTCCTTTCACAGTAATAAAATCACAACTCATGGCTTTTTTTCAGATTAATTCCTTTTGTTGTCAGACGTCTCTTTACTGGTTAATTATTTTCAGAGTATTACTGCTCCTCTCCTTCCCAGGAAGTATAATAATTTTTTCTCACAGTGCTACCTGTCTGTTGATGGGGTCAGGAGTGAAACTGGCACAGCTGTAGCACCTGTCCTGTGTTGTAGGCACACATAAGCTTCTGGTGAAAAGAGGAACCACCTCAGAGTCTGTGGTGCTGCTGAATTTCTGCATTTTCCTTTTTATTGCTCTCATTGGTGGTCTCAGTTGCAGCAGTATGTGTTGAAATAGCAGAAGCCTGAAGAACTGTGGGGTTCTCCAGCCGCTATTGCTTCCTGCAGCCAGCTCGTGAGGGAAACAGCAGCCTGGTGTGTCTTGCAGGAGGAAAAGGTAGTTTAAAGTAGCCATTGCTGCTGCTTGTCAGTTTAAGTTACTGTGCAGTTTTTTGCTGCATGATATGCTAAAACTACACGTGTCAGTCTTCTGAAGTAGATGATTAATGTGTATTCCTCTTGTGTCATATCGATGAAAAAAAAATTTGTTTTAGCTTTTTTAATAGCCCTGAAAGACTTCATGTTATTGAAAATCTGCAAATCTTTGTTGGAAAGGTTAAGATAAATGATATTGGTTGCAACCAGCCTTAATTATACAAACAGTTTAATTTTTACATTTGCCTCTGAAGCATGTTAAATTTCTCAACTTGTTTGACAGGGATGTCTCACCTTATTTCCCGAGATTTAAGGCACAGAAAAAAAGAGCTCATGACATTACTGTCTGAAGCAATTCAGAAATGTGACACACTTGATGGCTGCAAGGGTAGCTGCTGCAGGTTCAGCTGGAAGAGTGGCAGTAGGAAACACTTCTAGAAATCCAAGATTCTTTTGTGAGCTAAAAGATCTTTCTGGCCATGCATGTGAGTGAAATTCACTGATAATAAGTTAATTATGATTCAAGTGTTTGGGGTTTGGGTTGGAACTAGGCTTTAGAATGTGAATCCTGCAAAATCTATGTTTGTACTCTTTCCTTCTTTTTTCTTACCTGCTGCAGTATTAGCAAATACATTGAGTAAGTTAATTGGGTTAAAGGGGTGGTAAATGCAGTAACACAGCACAGAACTAGCTCTAAATTAGCAATTATGGGCAACAAATGATCTATTTCTGATTTGATGTGGGTAGAACATAAGAATGTGCAGTACCAGAAATTGTACACTGCTGTACATTTAAAAAATAAATAGTATGCCATTAACTTTGTTGCTGGGTTCCAGTGAAATAATAAAAAACTATGGAAAATGTACACCTTCTTTCAATTAAAATACACACTCTTTGCATTAAGTTGTAGCAATACACAAAGTAATATGTACTGTCCAAGACATGCAAGGTAGTCCTAATTCCATAGATTTGGGGCATTAGGAAGATTATCTGAGGTTTGAGATTTCCCTTACAGAAACTGGAAGAGATCAAAGTGTGCAGCTGAGTAAACAGAGGGCTCCACTTCACTTGGTAGGAATTTGCATTGGTGGAATTGTGTGGTGAATAGGAAAGAGATTTTGGTTAGGAAAGCGCCTTTTGCTTCTGTTTCTTGGAAGTTTAATCTAAATAAAAGAAAGAAAGCTTTCCCAATATAAGTCTCCCATAAAAATGTAAGCACTTCATAAACTCCTTCTCTCCCTAGTTCAGTCATTTAAGCAGCCCATAATGATGCTGAGGTTAAAGAAGGTCTTCAGTTCCATGCTGAAGTCTTCAGCTGTTATAATTCTTGAGGGATCTTTCAGTGAGAAGAGTTGTGCTGACCCTCTTGAACAAGTCATTAATGAAACAGCTTTGATAAATAGTAGTGTGCTAATGACCTGCAGAGGGGGTTTATAGAGAAAGCCAGTGGTCTCTTGGGGTCAGTATAGCTGGTATTGCATTTTTAGGAAGAATAAAGGTGTTAATACTGCAGTTGCCAGACACAATCCGTCTCGAGAAGTTAAATCTCTACTGAATCCCCACTACGGGGTCAATAACTTGTTTACACTTAACTTATGCCTCCTTTCTGAGTGCTGGATGGAACTGCAGCTGTGTGCAACAGCCACTGAGCTCATGAGTGTTAAAAGCCATCCTTCTGCTTCTGGAAGGATTTGCAAAGGTTTTTATTTATTTGTTTATTTATTTATTTTTAGTTAATGTTTATAAAGGCTTTTTGTTCTCCTCAGAGGGGAGTGTTAATTCAAGGCTTTCAGTTCCTACTGTGCCAAATCTGGAGTTTTCCCTCAGGCCTCCATCCTCTGGGAGTCAAGTAGTGCTGAAGAAGGGCTGTGGTGCAGCCAGGGAGCCTGGCATACCTGCCACTGCACTGTGCCTGCTGCAAATCTTGAACTCCAGCCCTTTCAGGGACTTTGTGAGCATTTCAGTGAAAATTCCTTCCAGCAGGTGCTGTGTGTCCACGGTACTTTCTAATTTCCCACTGATCTTGGAAATACACGAGAAAAAAGAGAATCATATATATCTTTTTTCTCTTGAAGTTGGCGTTTTGTTTTTTTTTTTTTAATTTTCTCTTTTACCCCACTTCTTCACATTTGAAAAATAAGGTCTTTCTGTTATTCTTCAGAATGCTGGCTGTAGAAACTGAAGAAATATAAATGTCATTAGGACTTGCCCCCTTTTTCATTTCACCTAGCAACGTCTTTGCACCCCCTCTTCTCCATCTCCAGTCTAGGACATCCCCCAGCAAAACAACACATTTGCAAACTGGTTCTATTTCAGTCGTTTCAAAGGTAAAGATAATTAAAAATACCCACACTCTGCCCAGAGGAAAGAAATATGAGGAACTGGAGTCTCTGAAGGCAGTCCTTTCTGCTTTTATGGCCTGGCAGTGCTCTGGGTAGAAACAGTTGCAATGCTGAAATGGCTGTGAACTTGATGGCCTCTTTTGGTGAAAACAATTTTTGTCTCTGTAGTTAAATCCTCCTCCTTTCCCTATAATTCATGTCTAATGTTTGATGTGGGAGAAAGAAATTACTGGGGGATTTTGAAGAGAACTGTGTTTATTCATGCAACTCCATGAAACAGCAGTAGTCTATTTATAAGACAAAGAAAAAAAATTAAAATTTAAGTGTCTAAATATGGATCCTAGATAACTTATCTAGCTCTCTGCAGAAGTGACCGGTGGTCTCTAGATCCTGTGGGCAGGAACTTTTAGGACCTTTTCAAATACATTTTTTTTCCTGATGCCCTATTCTACAAATTCATGTGCCTAAGGACAGAGGGGGAAAATCCAGAAATTTAGAAGTGTTTTAAAGTGTTTTAAATGTCCATTCCCTAACAGACTTTCATAAAGTGTACAGTGCAAGAATAAGGAGGATATAGCTTCTGTATCTGTAAAGCACCAGGAATGTATTTGAGGAGCTACCCCACTATCTCCTAGGCTAGATGAGATAATACATAATTAGAATATTTATGATCACTGGTGACAGGTAGGAATGATAATATTCACTAGCTGCAGTATTCAACTTCCCTGCAGGCTGAAATGTGTATAAAAGTGGATGTAGTATGTGGAGTGCTAATACAATACATGTGGATCATCGTGAGGAGAAAAGGATTTAAAATAACTTCTCAGTCTGCAATTTTTCTCTTTGTCTGGGAACAAGATCCTGCTTTGCTCCCAGAAGTAAATCTTGTTTTAATGAAATGCCTTAGGAAAGCTACCTTTCAAGGTAGTGTTCTCTGTCTCCTTCTAGTGTTTATACATACTTAGAAGTCCTTCTGAAAAGTAATGCAGAGGAATTTTTAAACATTAACAAGACTCACTTTCTTTACTAATTTCTAGTGGCTTTGTGTTAAACTTGTATTTTTCCACTTCAAATGCATACAGCCTTTCTTTGAGCTGAGGGAAAGTATTTGCACTTTTCTAGCATGTGGCTGAGTTCCAGCTGCCCCTTTGAAGCGCTGTTTGAGGCTGTAATCCTCTGAGCAGTCTGACACAAAGCTCAGATAGAACTGCACCAGCACCATTTGCAAGGTGGAAGCCACTGTAGCACTTTGGTTTAGTCTAGCAGAGAAATGGGAAAAGTCTCACAGATCCAACCGAGAGCTCATAAATTGGGAAAGTTTTCAGTCTCCCTAGCTCCTTCCAGCCATTATCAAGAACCTCCTTTGTGAGTTTTCTTCAGCTAAATTCTTTTTCAAAACTTAGTCTCTTGTGTCTTTTCTGGAATCAGAGTTTTCAAGTAAAACATTGTGTAGACTGAGGGACATGCCAAAATTAGGAGGTAACAATGCTGTGTTATAGCCATTATGACTCTGCTCTTCAAATACTTCCTGCCAACCCTTGTTCAGTCAGCTTTAATTTTTGTGTGATTCCAGTTTCCAGAAATCCAGCTTTGTATTCCTTAGAGACTCTGTAAAAATCTCCCCCTCTCCTGTCTTTTCCACTTGCTGCCTCTGAGGGTTTAGTCCTGCAAGATGTTGAATGTACTGGATATAGAGTCAGGAGAAACTCTTGTGTGCTTCCTTTGTTGCTCACACCAACTACTTATCATACCCCAAGCACTTCACAGGCACATAAGGTAGAGAAGCCATTCCAGGTGTCTCTCCACACACTTCACAGTCAGTGGTTATTTCTCATTCCTGAAATTGCACACATACTTTACAGCATGAGGATTGAAATGCTCATTATTTTGCAGAATCACAATCTTGAAGAATATACATGGTTTGAAGTTTGCTGTGCCTACCCAGAAAACACTTTGTATGCTGATTATACAAAACAGAAAGCAAGCCAAGCATGTTCACAGTGGAGTACAGGATTGCAGACAGGCCTATGGTTGTAAGCTGTGCTGCAGCTCCCCGTTCCTGCCCTCAATAAATTACCCCTACACTGAAAAGCAAGGTTCTGGAGATAGCCTGACTCTTAGGACAAGAAGGCTTTAGCTGATGGCATAAGCAGCTATTTTT